ACCATGAATTATGATCATGACTTGTTTAGCTAAATTATAGTTCACTACATTTCACCACATAGCACAAAATATAGCAACCTAATTTTTGAGATTTTTCCATGATTTTGTTAATTTTGAAATTTTAATCTGCAATTTTGTAAGAACTACCTATGTCCCAATGTGGAAATTTCACCACATACCTAGTTTTTTTAAATATTCAAATTATACTATTACATTTTTTTAAAACAAAAAAAAATTGCATTTTATGTAGTAAATATAAAAAACACAAAATTGCTTCTACCGTCAATTAATTGATTCCATAGCTGTAATTACTCCTCCAAACACGCCTCAACATTTTTGGTGAAGAAATACAATTTTGAATCTATCATCAATTAATTGACTACATGGCTATACTCAATCCACCAAACGCACCTCAACAATCCATGGTTATCGGTTATCTTTCCTAAAAAAAACCCCCAAATCGTAGTATTAATCTTTGGAAGAAAAATCAAAAACTACCACTGATACGAAGAATTCCCCCATTCAATTACATTTACAACTTTCTTCACATCCAAATCTAGGTTTTATTTCACATTGTGTGTAGGAAATTGACGTTCATACTGGGATTTCACATTTTCGTACAATAATGCAGGTTCTCACGAATGTTCTGAATTTACTCTTGCAGCGCTGCTTCTGCAACGTCACATATCGTTTAGGACGATTCAAAACTTGTGTGATTCTACTAGGAGGCTACCTGCTTCTGATCCGAGTTTTCATAAGCATTTGTGATGCTATAATAGCTCTCCATGGATGACAATTTAAAACTCACTTAGTTTAAAGAAATCAATTGATAAAGCCACCTTTACTTCCAAAGCAAAATTTAGTTTCTTGAAAACTCAATCTCAATGTATGACAATTTAAAACTCACTTAGATTAAAGAAATCAATTGATAAAGCCACCTTTACTTCCATAGCAATATTTAGTTTCTTGAAAACTCAAGAATGTTGAAGATTCCAATGCAGAAGATAATTTGTTTGAAGAAATCAATTGATAAAGCCACCTTTACTTCCAAAGCAAAATTTAGTTTCTTCAAAACTCAAGTATGTTGAGGATAAGAAGAGTCCAATGCAGAAGATAATTCAAGTGTGGTTTGAGCTTTTTGATTGTGAAACTTTTGCTTCTGTCTAATCTTGGACCATGGAGTATATGTACATAAGGCACTCACAAATTGGTGAGACTGCTGATTCAAAATTAGAGGTGTTTTCCTCACACATTGTACAATGTTGAGTATCTTGATATTAATGCAATTTTGATCAAGCAAGTGGGACATTGTTATTTTATACAATTCTTTTTGTTAGTATATGTTATTCAACACGACATGTACTGCGTATCAAATATATATAAAAAATTTATATGCATATTTTTAATCATCTTTAGTCAAGATCCAATTACAATGCCATTAAATTGTTTTGACATACTAACTCTGCAATCTCCTTTGAGCTTAGGACAACAAGAGATTGTAGTGCTAGTGACAACCGGAATTTCACTAACATTATGGTTGATGTAGCCAAAAAATATTCAAATACCCCAAGATCCTAATCCTTAAAGAAGCCAAGTAAAGGAATTGAATTTTCAAGGAAAAGAAGATCTACTGAAAAATCACAAGTTCAATATCTAGGCTAATATATTCAATTCACTAATTTATGGTCCAATTCATCTGTGCATGTTGCAGCTGCTGTTGAGGTTGCAATTGTGGTTGCGAGATAAAACCCTATGGTCCAGCCACTGCCTCAAACCTTGGTCAAAAATTTGATATGAACATATTTCATGGAATCACTTTGCAAAAAAAATATTATGAGACATGATTCAACGCGACGTCAAACATAATAATTACCTTAATGAAATCAATCCACCACGGTGGCTGAGGATGGATATTCTCAATTCACCCTTCAATATTATTGTAGCAAGCAATTTAACTTTGAAATTGAATATATACGTTATGCTTTCTAATTTAACGCCACACGCTTTCTGTCTTTGGAAATTTCAGTTACATATACAAAAATGAATGGTTATTAGAGCATTTTACTCTATAGTTTTAAAGAGCATATTCTATCATTTGAAGAACATCAATAAATTTAGAGAGTAAAAATTTTGAAGCACTCCAACAAACTCTTTATATTTAATACTTAATTTTACTACTCCCAAAAAATATTTATTATTTTTTTAAAAATTATTTTATTATTTTTCTACATTGAAAATTAAAACATTTTGAATGCGTTTAATTATAGAGAGTGAGTGGATTTGGCTCTCAAACTCACTCTCTAAATTAAAATGTAAATTTAAAAAGTCTCTTAAAATATAATTTTAAATGTTGACTCTTTAAAATATAGATCATCTCATATTTAAAGATTTTCTTGAAGAAGCTGTTATGCAGTACTTTGGAATTTTAATGGGATTTTGAAGTATTTTAGGTTATTATTTGAATTTAATAGTATAAAATGAATTATTTAAATTAGGGTGCAATAATTACAGATGGGTGATTTTGCATATTTTAAAATTTCCTTTATACTGGAATATAGTAGTAAGCCCCTATTTGATGCACATTTTCGGAGTAAGAATACATTTTAACTGTTGATGTGATATGAAATATGTGATTGAAAAAGAAGGAAANGTTTCACATTTGCAGTCAGCTCTCGATTGCATCTATACAACCTAGACTTTGAAGGACTCGTCTTATGGTTGTGCTCGAGGTGGGCTGTGTTTACTCTCCAATTTCCATTACTTAATAAAGATGCTGAGACCCTTGCCTTACAATCTGTTTGACTTGTTGGTTGTTGCTTTAAAGAATTGCCGGCACCATAACTTCTTCTGCCCTCACGACCACAAGTGAATGTTACATATTTCAAGTTCCCATCGTCCCCTTTTTTCGAATTTCGTTTCCTAACTGGAAAACCCACCTCATAAGCATATCGTTTGTAGAACTCCAAAATTTCTTTTTCATCATTGAACATCATACCCACCTCGGGTATATTCATAGCATGTCCTCCAACATTATCATCTTTCAATTGCTTTGCATCGTTCGTGACATTCGTATTATCATCGTCAACCAATAAATCATGATGTTCGTCTTCCATAATTTCTATTCCTGCGATGAACAAAAGCATAAACAAAACACTTTTACATAATCTGTACAAAGTTCAAACCAACATCAAGTCTTAATATTTTCACCATTTTGTAAAATCATTTCTTGCTTCAAACATTATTCTGGCTTTCTAGACACCCTTTTAAAGGATTAATCTGTACAAAGTTCTAACCAACATCAAGTCATTTTCAGTAGTTTGTAAAATCAATATTTGCCTCATTCAACATTTGCTCGGGTCTACAAAGACGAGTAAGTCAACTCTCCATGATCAAGTTAATACTTAAAAGTCATACACTACACATTACAATCAACATCATAGATACCTTTCTCCGTAGCTTCCAACTCCATATCTGAAGGAAGAAGGGGCGATTTAGCTTCAGTCGCCAGAAAGGTTTGTCGGTAGAATGGTGGGTGAAACCTTCGCACGTGAGTGAAGAATGAGTAGTCCGTAGGTTTGTCGAAGATGGAGGTGGACGGTTGTGAAGGCTTTAGGTGTCGGTTGTGGCGGAGGGAACCCGGAATTGTATTTTGTTCTCGCGACTTTAATCTGGGCAACTGTTCATGAGCGCCTGTTGGTTGAGACCTATCTTCCAGTAGTGAAACTTGCAACGCCGGGAGGTTGGTCGGAGATGGAGATGTAGATGATTTCAAGGCCTGAAGATCTCGGTTGTGGCGGGGAGGGATTTTCAATTGGATTCTGATTTTCGCGGCGAGTGATTTGGGGATTTTGATGTATTGTGATGTTTTCCCTTTTTTTTTTATAGCATATCCACGTCAGCAATATTCAAAATCCGGTAAGTTCCCTGTGAAGGATGTCATGTACTTGTAGACTAATCCTTTTATTAAAAAGAAGTCAATAGTAATAAAGATGGCCCAAATTCGAAAATCCAATCCGCTACAACTACAAACCCTATTCCAACTTGCGACCTACCCTGCAGGCATTCACAGATTCAAATTCACTTCAGACTTCAGGGTTCATCCCCGATTCCCCATCCGACATCCGCGACTTCAACTTGCGACCAGGCGTCGGTCACTCAGTCCGCTGCTCTCCCTGCCCACCGGTTCTCTGACGCCTCTTGAGTCCCTGTTTGCGAGGCGCCGCGGCGGTCTGTTGTTCCAGTTTCCAAACTTCCAAAGGTAAAACCAATCTAAATTTCTGACTTGTTGCTGACTTTACATCCAACTATTATTGAAATTGATCCAACAAAGGTGTGAGTGATGAGTTAATGTGTTGCTGGACTTCCTTTTTGTTTGGAGCGGTCTCTAAAAATATTAACTGAAGACACAATTTTGTCTCCTTTTTAGTGCGATCTCTATCGATTTTGGGACTCAAATAATTAGTTAAGGAAAATTTAATAAAGCAACACAATAAAATAAAGCTAGAGATTGGGTTGAGCAATTGAACAGTGTTTCCTCCTTGTTGTTGTAAACTGTTGCTGACTTTACATTCTCAATTTCCAAACTTCCAAAGGTAAACTCATATATTAATATAGGGCAGTGAGTTGCTGACTTGCTGTTGCTGGGGATTTATGTCGGTGGTTTGAATTGTAGATAGTTGCTGGGATGTGTGGAGTGGGGATTATCTTGCATTCGTGAGAGGTCAGGGATATAGGGAAGCTAGTAATATGCGAGGTGAGTATAATTGTGTAATTATGGAACTTATCAAGGTATGAGAATGCGTCGAATATTTTAATTTTTTCGCAACTTCTTTGTAAGTACCTCCCTAACTCAAAATGTCTGGCCGCCAAGAAAGTGTATATGCAAGTTTGAATGGTCTTTATTTGATCATGTAGCTTTGAATGTGTTTGCCCCAAAATTCTTCAATTCTCGGATTTCTTATCTTTTCTGTTATTAAATAACACAACAGGAGGGAAAAAAAATGTCCAAGGAAATGGAATTTGATGCAAATGAAGAGAAGCTCAAGACTCTGCGTGTATCATCTCTCGATGAAGAAGAAGATGATAACGAAGCTCAAGTGGACGAAATTGATGACCCAGATTTATCCACTGATGAAGATGAAGAAGGCGAAGTACACCCTGTAACATTAGGATTTGTTGAGAAGCTGAAAAATAAGTGGTCACTACTCCGCCATTACTTCCCAAGCAAAGCTGGTGGCACTCCGGTAATTCTGCGGATTCTTTCTCACATGAGTTCTATTCAAGATATCATATACCTCAAAATTTTCAAATTTACAGCATGTTTGGCGGTGCTTGAAGCTAAAAATTACCTGCTTTATGTATAGTGGTGGATCCAGAATTTTGAGTGAATATGGGCTGTCGTTGACTGTTAACTGTCAATCGTAATAAAATATTAAAAATTAAATATAATAATTATTTTGCTAAAACTAAACATATATAATTTTATTATATATATAGACAATGTTCACCAAATGACATAGTGATCAGGTTTCCTATAAATCAAAGAAAGAGAATAGGTTCGAATCTTTACAATTGCATTAAAACCACTAAAACGGAATATAATTTTTATGTTAGATTTAGTTTCAAAATTCAATAAGTGCCATGGTGGTCAAGTATTCAATAATCTTAAAGGGGATCATAGGTTCGAATCCCTTCCCTATTGCATTAGTTTTGTTAAAAATTGTAAAACTAGAAAAATTATACAATAAATTGGTTTGAAAAGGATTCGATCCTTGGACCTCCAATTTGTATGTATAACATGTAACCAATTGCGCTTCAAGCAATGTTTGAAAATGAAATGAATCACCAAATATATAACCTAAATTTTTTTCTTTTGTCAACAAAAAAAATTTGTTCACGGCGGCTGCCGGGTGCTAGGTCCGCCCCTGTTTATGTAGATTCATTCTGTCAAGAAAATCAGGTAAATATTCACTTTTAAGCACGGCCAAATTTCCCATCCGCTCAGCTTGTTTGTAGTGCAGAATTTCATATTACTTCATAAATTTATATACTGATTTTATTTAGACTGCCATTGTGCTTAAAATATTAACTTTTTCTGTTCACTCCTACAGAAAAAATTGTTGCCAATACTGAAAGCTGCCAAAAATGCAGCTAAAGTTTATGATTTAGAAGCGGTAGAGATTGAATATAGGAAGCATAGAGTTTTAATTTTGTTTTTCTGAAATGGGGATTACTTGTTTTATTGGTAACGTAGGCTTGGTTGGATCCGATTAATTTGCCTTCCGAGAAGTCTAGTCTTTGTGATTTTTGCAGTGAGCCATTGCAGTTTTTGCTACAGGTATATAAAAGCTATAAATATTCACATCTACTGCACTCTATTATCTTCTTCCAGCGTTCAATTCTATCTGATTTATTCTTTAACGTTCATTCATTCCCCAGGTTTATGGACCACTAACTGAGGAATCAACGTTTCACCACGAATCAACGTTTCACCGCGCCCTGTTTGTTTTCATGTGCCCATCAATGGCTTGTCTTCTTCGCGACCAGCACGAGCAGTGGAAGCGGCATCCTGAGAAGCCATGCAGAAGGTACATCTTTGAGTATGGAGGCTGCCTAAATAACTAACTATTTCTGATCTTATCTTCTCATGTCAACTGGGTTTTGAAGTGTCAAGGTTTTCCGTTGTCAATTGCCACAAACAAATTCGTTTTATTCAGGCAAGCCCCCCAGTGAAGATGGGACAGAGCAACCTTTGACAGCTGGAGGTAACGTATCAATATAATTAACTTCTTAACAAAAGTGTAGTATGCCAAGTTTGTATTGTACATTTGAATTCGTTGGCATTCCCTTCTTCCAAATTTGGCTGGATGACAATATCTACCCCCAAAGATGAAGGAAATTTTTTTGAGCTTGGGAGCAATTTTTGTACACACATATTGTTAAGAGATATTTGGTACATATAGAAGACATAAGCTAAAGATATATAATATTATTACTTTTGAATTCAAATGTTATTATTTTATTGATTGATTCTACCTCACCCATCTCAGCAAAACTTTGTAATTGGTGCGGTACATGGAAAGGGGATAAAGTCTGTAGTAGCTGCAGAAAAGCACGATATTGTTCTGGGAAACACCAGGTATTTGATGAATTTTGCCTCTGTATACATATAACTTAGCAACTTGAAGAGTTCCATATTGATGAGAGGAGAACACGGATATTTGTAGGCTGCACATTGGCGTTCTGGTCATAGATTAGCGTGTACCCGGTTGCAGACTTCTCTTGAAATGTCTGAATCAGGTAGCCACTTATACAGGGATAAGCGAGAACTTTATTCCTAGATTGTAACATGACACTTACAACTCATAAGAAGTTCCATAAATGTACTCATCTTATTAATTAAAGGCTAGAGTACATTTTTTATATTTCATGCAGACTGAAAATTTTATTTGCAAACAGCTGCGAGCAACTCTCTCTGGCCACAGTATGAGATCACAATTGAGGATGAATGTGAATTTGAGAACGAGATGTCTGATAGTGAGTATTCTAATATATTAGTTTCTGGAAATCGGGTGGATGAGTCAGTCAGGTCACTGATGGATGATTTTGCTGTGAGTGTACTTGTCTATTGATTGTGAAGTTTTGGCTGAATGAATGATCATTTTCATTCTCAGTTTAATTGTTACTGAATAGGGAGACGATGACAAGAGGAGTTGGGCATCTTTCCAGGAGAGAATTTCCCGTGCCCCTGAACAAGTTTTGAGGTGATCACATGATTTAATTTGGAGGACGTATATTTTTAATAACATTTACTTTTTTGTTGTCCACCAAGATCTTTTAAATTCTGTTGTTCCTCAGGTTGTAATTTATTTCTTTTTTTGAACAGGTACTGTAGATCTGCTAAAGCAAAAGCATTATGGCCTGTGCACAGTGGCCGGCCATCAAGATCTGATATTCCTGCATGCAACTACTGTGGTGGCACTCGATGTTTTGAATTCCAGGTGAGAACTTGTTTATACCTTTGAACTTTATTGCTAGTAACTGGTTGTTGGTTGTACCATCCGTGAAGTTTTGGAGTTAAGAGATTTGTCCTGGTAAATGGTCCTACTTACGCAAAAGTATTTCCAAGAGACTCTTTAAAAGTGAGATGCTCTTTATTTTATGGAGTCAAATCTTAAAATTAGATTCCAAGAGACTCTTTATTTTAACTTTTGAATATAGAGCGAGTTTATAAAATTCAGAAAGCGAATTTTGTACCGCGCGGCCTGTCCATGATTCTCTGGATTCTATTGAAAATCTTTTGCTGATATGTACAGAGCCAAACTCACTCTATTTATATTTTTATCAAAATTGTATTTGATAATATTGCAAGACAACGTTCCACTGCTTAAATTATTTGTATTATATTTTGAATATTTTAGCTATTGATGTCAAAAAATATATATTAATTGAAAACGATGGAAAAACAATAATTGAGTGTTGGGAAATGTAAAATAAAGACAAACAAATAAAGAGTTTGTTGGAGTGCGTAAACAATTTTACTCTTTAAATTTAAAATTGTTCTCTATTATGACCAGGCAAGATGCTCTTTAAAAATAAAGAGTTTATTGGAGATGCTCTAAGGCTTTGGTTCAAAAACTCCTAGCTACTTATCGAAAATGAACAAATGGATTAGAGAGAAGGATTGAATGTTTGCCTTACTACCACATTCAAAGCTGCGATTGCTCTAGAACTTTTTGACATGTTTTTACTAAATGTTTAGTTGTACCACTTCTAATTTTAATTATGTGCTTAGTTAACTTTACATAAATCGTCAGTGCGGTTTGATTATTCTAATTCTCATAATCAGGCTTGACCAAAAGGGAGCCTAATGATCATAGTTTGGATTTTATCTACATCCTTGTTATCCCTTCAGGACGTTAGGTTATGCTCTGGTTGGTTCTATGATTTCAGGTTTTGCCGCAGCTACTTTATTATTTTGGGGTGCAAAATGATGTGGATTCTCTTGATTGGGCGACAATTGTTGTTTACACGTGTGAGGCTTCTTGTAAAGGAGACGAGGGCTACAAAGAAGAATTCGCCTGGGTTCAACTCGTGTCCCAGTCAGCACCTTAACGATAAAAACTCCTCTCAAAAGTATAGAAATGACAAAAACAGGTTGCAAAGAGGAATTTTCTCCGGGTCAACTTGTGTAAGAATGAAAATGGATCCTCTTCCCTTTTCATGCATGAAAAAAGCAAATTTGACATCGTTTAAGTTGGCGGCAGTTTTTTACTACATCTCTCTGTATAATGATTTCCCATGAGATTGGTACACGTCTATTTGACCTACGTAGTGGGTTTTTGAAATAGTGTTTTTTGATGCTTATAAGAATTCTAATAGCTTGATATATCAGTTTGGTTCGGTAATATTTAGACAACTGTTCATTAGAGTATGTTTTCAACAGTGAAAATAATTTTTATCTGACGTTTGTGATTTTTCCTTGTGCTGCCCTAACGAGCAGGTGATTTCATTTGAAAAGGATTACTGAAGCATTACAGAGTGGACGAATGCTAGAGTGAATTTTTAGTGACAGTGTCTGAATATAAATATCAATAGAGAGTCGGGAAAAAGTAATTTTGAAAAAATGTTTTTCAAACAAGAGTTTAGTATAAACTTGTTTTTTTGTTCCATCCACTAGTAAATCCAGACAAGAGAAATTGAAAAATGGCTTTTATAAAATAATCCATCTCCAATCAGTACACCCCCTTTATCCTACTTCCATCAATCAATCTCCCAGAAACAATGTATACAAGAATTTACAATGCCAAAGAAATAACTATTATTTTGACACGAGGAAATAATGCTGAAAGCAAAACCGTTCTTACACATGAATGAAGAAACTGACTCTATACACGAATATGATATCGCATCAGTTCAAAGATTTTTACGCAAAATAGTTTTCAGATGGCGTCGGAGGGAGATGTTATCAAAGATTCGAATTAGTCATGATTCTCGTCGGAAGATAATTCAGATGGATTGGTGGAGATGTAGTTGTATCTCATTTTACAGGGATTATTGAAGAAATATTATTGTTCAAGCTACCATATTTAAAGTACTATTTTTCATGAAACTGCGAATTGACCATTTTGATATGAGAGGAAGCAAGAACTCGACGATGAATTTTGGAGTTCGGGTGACATTTTTGGAGGATCTAGACACATTGGAGCATACCCGCGTTGTAGAAAGGTCGAAGGGAGTAAAAAAAGAAATGTTCGACAGATATTCAAGTGAAGGGAGATTCACTTATTCCAGAAAAAATTCCTACAGTTATAATATTAACGAAAGTACGATTTAACAATTTTTTCCTCAGTCCTAATAAGGAATCCGACTTCTTTCCAGATCGGGCTAAAACCCGATCCATCAACAAAGGTACCGGGCCGTAACGACATCGAATGGCGTGCTAAAATTGTTAAGCTGACTAATGAAAGTCCCACACTTTTTGACGTCAAAAGTTTTATTCTTCAAATCAAACTCAGATTTACGGCTCCGATTCATTTTTCGTTGTAGCAACTGACCTGTGCGCGCCTTTTCTCAATCGCCGGCGGCTTCCATTGATAACACTAATGGCGATTTTTGTAGCATCTCGTCGACTGTCTAGTAGATCGACGACCGCGACGTCCTTTTTGGCGGAGTCGTTGCGCTATACAACAAGCTTCAGATTGCACACGACTTCTTACAGGGAAGAAAGAGATACATTTGGGCCAATTCGGGTTCCCTCCGACAAGTCCGTACTCCCGTTCTTTTATTTTATATTAAGTATTTTGAAACTGGAACTTGTGTTTCTAGTTTCATAGGATTTTGTTTCTAGTTTTATGTTTTTGTTCTTCCTGATTGAAATCCTGACTTGTGATTTTTAATTAATTACTTTTCTGGTGCTTTCTTACTCCAGTATTCAAAATATACTGTATTATTGTTAACAATTTGTCAATGGAAAGGCGGGATTTGATCCTGCAGCTAGTGGATGGTTTTCGATGGGGTTGTACTAGCACAACTGGTCACCAGTATTCCAATTATTTAAAGTGATGAACAAATAACTAACAAACTGTTGTGACTACTATAAGCAAACAAACAAATACATAGCATGAAGAGGGTTTATAGCTCACCATTGACATAGTATTAATGTCAATTGTTTGATTGTGAACGAAGCTGTGAAGACGGGGGCTTATGAGACCTCTTCTGCCGTGGTCTTATTTTACCCACAAGGATAATTTGTTAAGAGTTTGTGTCATTCTTTTTGCATGAATCACTTTCCATGAAGAATTCTTAAGTGAGCCGACTTCTGAGAAATATTTCTGAATCATGTTCTATCCTTGTTATTCTAATCCTTTCCGATAGTTCTCCTCTTTGCATACATTTTTCAGATTATGGGGTGCTCAAACACAGCGATCATTGCAAAATTTTGATATTGGAGGCGAGCGAGAACGAATGCCTGAACCAATTATACGTGCATTTGGGATTCTTAAAAAGTGCGCTGCAAAGGTTGATAATGTGCTAACTTAGTATTCTCTTTTGGCATGAATTGCATCATCATTTTGTTTTTCATTTCTGTTTTGGACACTTGTCTATGCAAGCACAAATTTACTGATGAAAAAGATTAAGATCTTTCAATTGTATGATGAATAATTTTCCCCATCTAGCGTGACAATTGTTAGAATTATATAATGTAGTTTAACTCTTGTAACGTTTCTGATTAGTATATTCGTGTTTAAGGTTTAATCTTCTGCATATTACTGTCTTACTTGAAGGTGAACATGACATATGGCCTTGATCCATCTATTGGGAAAGCAATTATGCAGGCTGCTCAAGAAGTCGCCGAGGGAAAGTTAAATGATCATTTTCCACTAGTGGTTTGGCAAACTGGTAGTGGCACTCAAAGTAACATGAACGCCAATGAGGTACTTGCAAGTTATGAACTCTGGGGCAATATAAATATAAAATAGATTTTCTTTTGTCTGCTGCTGTGCCCATGTTCTAGATTTTTTTTATCCACCGTTTCCTTTTCCATTAGGTAACCATATTGTGGCGATTTCTGGTGTGCTGACATTCAATTCGTAAAAAAATCCGCTTAAATAATTATGGTGCTGTTGTATTTAATTTAGCACAAAGTTCTTTCTTGAGACCTCTATCTCCACAGCGATTGTTTTCCAGAATTTATTCGAAACATATCATAGACACTGATATTGCCCCTGAGGGTGTATTGCTTTACTTTATTATTTTTTAAATTTAACATTTCATCCTTTTATAAACTTTCAAATACTTGAGTTGTTGCATTCATGACGTATGAAAATCATACTAGGCATTTATTTTGGATGTTTGATAAAATAATTGATATTTCTCTGTTTGGATTTTATGCTGTGACACTATATTTCACAGGTTATTGCAAATAGAGCTGCTGAAATCCTCGGCCACAAGCGCGGTGAAAAGTTTGTGCATCCAAATGACCACGTCAACAGATCGCAATCTTCAAATGACACTTTTCCTACTGTAAGCCTCTTTTGGCAATACTATTTGTTAGTTTCTTGCAGAGAAACCGTTCTATCTAATTTTTAAGCTTGAAATTTCAGTCTTATTGTTTTATGTTTTGTTTTGTCTTATGTATAGGTAATGCACATTGCAGCTGCAATGGAAATCAATTCAAGATTGATACCTAACATGAAACAGTTACATACTTCGCTACATACAAAGGTTGAGTTAAGCTGTTTCTCTCCATCTGTGTTTGTTTAATTATTCATAAGAACTTCTCATTTGTGTCAACTGCAAACCTCATTAAGTCATAGTTTCGGATCGAAACTTTTCCTACTGGAACTTGAGAGTGCTTTTCCTAGTTTTCTCTTTATATATCTCTTTCATGTGCATGCATCTTAAATGAAAATTTAATAACATGCTAAGCTGTGGATTTGGCTTCACCTAAGGTTATGAATGCTTTCTGGGAGCTTCTTGTAGGAAAGCTTCGGACTTCACCTATTAAAGTTCCTCCAGATGTTTGATGCACATAAAAATCGTTCTAGCATGAGATGCATTAATTTCAGTCATCGAGTTATTGATTTGTGAAGGTTGATTAAACACAATCATGAATGCCTGCTATTTGAGTTTTCTGACTTTTTATTTTGTTTGGACTTTGGCCTAGGCTGTATCTTTCGTTTGTTTTATTTGGGTATTTTAAGAATTATTGGTCTAACTACTTGTATTATAGTTACTATAAATTTTGCCATGCTTCTAGTTGGTTTGTGCTTCCAAGTTATTCACCTGGCAACTTGACTATGTATTCATGTTCTTTTGGTTGGTAAAGTGTTTGTAGAGCAATAATGTCAATAAATTTTCATTTTTCCTGAGTTGAAAGTTCATTAAAGTTCTCATTCACACTTCCAAAGAGAGAGAGAATAAACAACTTTGTCATTTATCTAGCATTAAAATGATCTTATTGGCTAAAAACTTAGGCCACCCATACCAGTGTTTTATTATGTTTTGAAACTAGCTATAAATTTGCTGGGCCTTATGCTAGGAACCACCATATGCCTACCTCTTCAAGTATATTATCTTCAGTCTGTTTAAGGTTTCATTTAATCCACTTCATATTCATTTTTTTTTGTGGCCGAGCAATGGTCGAGCTTGTGATAAGGATTGAGGATAATTGATTCTTTGAACCAATATGGTAAAGATCGATGTTATTACTGTATAGCTGGATCAGCGTTCCGTATGTTGAAGGGTGGAATACCAAGATAATTGATTCTGATCGCATCAGATTAAGCCCTATAAAGGTGGCTGGAATAGTAGTGATGCTTTTCTATCATAGTCTTTCCTGGGTATAGGCTGGGCCATAAATGGATGCATTCGTTTTTGTAGTCAATCAATCATCATAAGACATGTTCTTCGATTAGGGATATGATAGTAATAATAATGTTTAATGGAGCTTATTATTCATTTTGTCAAGCTGGTTATAAAATCTTGTCTTTCATGAAAACACACTATTTGGGATGCCATTTCTGTGGTTGTTATGTTTACCATTACTATGTTAATCAGTACTACATTTATTACTCATTCCACATATTTTTTTTTCCAGTCAGTCGAATTTAAAGACATTGTTAAAATTGGTCGCACACACACTCAAGATGCAACACCTTTGACCCTTGGACAAGAATTTAGTGGCTACACCACTCAAGTGAGTTTTTATCCAATACCTTTTACAAGATCTGTTGCCATGCTGAAATGAAGTTTCAGTTGATTTTTGAAGATCGCTAGAATGATTTAATTTTATGATAATATAAAGATTTCTTCTATTTTTTCAGGTGAAGTATGGAATTGATCGAGTTTTGTGTACTCTTCCTCGCATGTATCAGGTTTCCTTCTTTTCTATGTGTCCTGCTCCTCCTGATATCAACCCTTTTTTTCTTTTTCTGCCTGCTGTTCTGAGAGGTCAGATATATTTTATGAGCAGCTTGCTCAAGGGGGCACTGCTGTAGGGACTGGATTAAACACTAAGAAAGGGTAAGTATTGCATTATTTAAGTTATAAGTTAAGCCCTTGTTTGAGCCCCATTTTCCCTTTAAAATGCATTATTGAACAGTGATTTGACTCCATTTCAACCATACATTCTTTAATAAAATAATATTACATGTAAACCCAAAAATTTTCCTTATTTTTTAACCACACATTCTCCATCATAACACTATTACAAAATGCATTTTTTTGAAAAAAAAATGTGGCTCAAACAACCCCTGAATTTATTGCTGCTACAAGCCACCGTGGACACATGGATTGTTTGCAAGAAGTCCTTTGTTTCTGTTTCCTCTTCGTGTTACTAAAGTTCGGCTGTGAAGTGTTAAACCTTTTTTTTTCTTATGTCGATGACTGACTTTTTTCAGGTTTGATGTAAAGATTGCTGCCTCAGTAGCTGAGGAAACTAATTTGCCATTTGTTACAGCTGAAAATAAATTTGAAGCATTGGTAGTCTCGTCATTCCTGAAGCTTCTTCTGTACTTACTTTCAAGTCTCTGCCTAACCTTTCGAAATAAATTACATGCAGAACATAATTACAATAAAAGTTTTCTTTTGTGTTTTCTGATATTGATAGGCTGCACATGATGCATTTGTTGAAACCAGTGGAGCCTTAAACACGATTGCTGCCTCTCTCATGAAGGTGGCAAATGACATACGTTTCTTAGGAAGGTTTGTTTATTTAGACATATTGCTTCACTGTTTTTATTCCCTTCATTCTCGGTGTTCTCACGACAATCTTTGTCCAGTGGTCCACGGTGTGGTCTAGGAGAACTCATTCTTCCTGAAAATGAACCTGGCAGCAGTATCATGCCGGTAATCTAGTTATTGATATCAGATTAATGTTTGTACAGCAAATTATAACTGAAACTAACTGCAAGTTTTCTCAAATAATCTTGTGTATGTGACCCTCTTGATTCAGGGAAAGGTGAACCCTACTCAGTGTGAGGCTCTCACAATGGTCTGTGCTCAGGTAATAGCAGCTAGAATAATGATTGACAAGTTGTTAACAAATTCTGTTGGATTATTTTTTACTGTCTACGTAGTAACTATGTCAATGAAATGAATTATTTTCCCACCTTCCAGGTTATGGGAAATCATGTAGCTGTTACTGTTGGGGGATCAAATGGCCATTTTGAGCTGAATGTATTTAAGCCTATGATTGCCAGCAATCTTTTACACGTATGTTCTGTCATTTGTTTTTGTATTAAAATTTCAGTGTAGTGCAGTTTTGATCTTAAAGGTTCTTTCTGATAGTTACCCTAGTGAATCCTCCAGCATGAACTACAGAGAGCATTTTGATGGTAAAATATGTGGTTTATATGCTTCAATCTGGAACCAGATTCTATATATATATATATGGGAATTATGTTGACCGTGCGCAAAAGATTTGATACATTCGGAGGGCACTCATTGCTTAGTGTTATTCCTTTTAGTCTCCACACCTTTGCCCTTGATATGGATCTTTTTCTACTAAGCCTGTGTCTGGGAGGAATTTTATACCAGATTTTAATCATTTTTATAAACGTTTTGTCTGCACCCTGCCGTTTTTTTTTTTCAATTCCTTTCTCACACTGGGACCCATTTGTAGTTTCACAACGGTAAAAATTCTGATGAAAATCTTTCACAAATTGGTGCCAGACAGGCGCGGAATATTATTGCTTCAGCATGATATATTTCAGATATTTGCTCAACATTTACTTCTTCGTATTTGAAAAACATTTTGCTATGGCACTATGAAACTCCCTCTCTCTGGGTGTTCGTATGTTTTTGGCTCCAAAGGAACCACTCTGTAGTTAGTAATTTTCATCTTGCTGATCACAGTCATTGAGATTGATTGGGGATGCATCAGCTTCTTTCGAGAAGAATTGCGTGAGGGGAATTCAAGCCAATAAAGAAAGGATATCTAAACTATTACATGAGGTTAGTCACTATGTAACGTGTTAGCTTAAAATATTCTTTCATTTACCTGTTGAAACACCCTAAGATGATTGATATTATGTCATTTTGTATAACCTTTGCAGTCGCTCATGCTTGTTACATCTCTGAACCCGGTAATTTTCTGAATTCTGCATTCTTTGGCTGTATCTTCCGGTAAAGCTGTACCGTGCTTATTGTAAGTTAATGCTGCTGTTGTTCCAGAAAATTGGCTATGACAATGCTGCATCAGTTGCCAAGACCGCCCACAAGGAGGGTAGTACTTTAAAGGTGAGATTCAACCTCCTATTTGTGGAGTGTCCTCATCCTTCTTTGGTTGTTTCGACCTCTTCTTACAGTTGTATATGGCACCGTTTGGATCATGCCTCTTTTATGTTTGGCTAAACTTAAAGATAACTAACTCTTTATTCCCCCACACATTTCAACAAGTTACATTTTTCTTATGACTAAGCAGAAAAAAGTTAGATATTTTAAAATGAACGCATGCCTTACTGGCTTACTGTCAAAATAAGCAACTTATTTTCAATTTTGATCAATAAAAAAAACAAATTTATTAATACCGAAACTTATTTGTAAGTAAATCCTTTCAGCTAAGCCAAACATGCTCATGATATCACATGCAACTAAAATACCAAAAGTAAGCCTTGTTTCTAATAATTTTAGGTCCAACTATATGAATTATTTTCGGACGCTATTCGGTTCATTTCTAACTGCTTTATCCCTTGCACGATGATGAATTTCATTCTCTCTGTGTGTCAATGCCATGTCTAGATTAAACAAAATTGTAAATCTGAAAATTCCTTTGTGAATACAAATTTGACAAAAAAATTCTGATTGTACAGGAAGCTGCCTTGAAACTTGGAGTGCTCACTTCTGAAGAATTTGATAAGCTTGTAGTCCCGGAGAACATGATTGGTCCCTCGGACTAATCAAATCAGATTTGGTTTAAGTTTTTAGTTGCAAGAAATTAATCCTAAATAAAGAACAAATATCCCGAGTAATTCCTTTTTTTGGGATCTTCTCAATTGTTAGCTTTGGTTTTGTTGGTGGAAAAGCACAAAAACCTCCCTCATTTTTGTAAACGAGGTACATTGTTGAAATTTATTGGAACTACTGAAACTAATTTTAACGTTTTCCCAAATCTTTAAATTTAAATTTTTTTGGTATAATATTTCATTGAAAATTCAGAGAGAACGCCCTATTAGCGTATTATGCCATGAAAAGATTATCGTTCGAACTTTTTTCTTAACTTATTTATGAATTAAATTAAATTTCAAACAGCTGAATGACTTGGATATCTTGGACCAGTCGAATGCTAAAATAGAATTGTGTTTAAATATTATATTTGCAATATTTGTCAAGAATATAATCTGCTTTTAACACCCTTAGTTTTGGTGTTTAATTCTCATCCTACTTCTAATTTGGTTGGTAATAAATGAGGCCTATGTGACCTTTATAGTTCACTTCTTTTTAAATGAATTATGGAGATTGATTTTATTTTATGGTTTAGATTTCTCTATATTATTTTTTGTATATATTGTATCTATGAACTTTTATTCAACTATTACAATTTTCTTATATATTCTTAAATGAGGCATTCAGACNAAAAAATTCATGTGTAAAATTTTTTTTTTTACGTATTAACCCGATCTGTGATCCGGTCCTGAATCCGTCCCCGGTGTGCCAGATGTCAGCTGCATTTATTGGCCTTCAGCTATGTCACAACCGGGTTTTGACATGCTGCTACTAGATTTGAAATTGTATATGTTCCTAAAATCTACAATAATCACATAACCAAAAAAAATTAGCATGTCTTATTCATTTAAGGTAAATTATTAATTTACACTACAGGCACAATTAATTTATTGTTATTTCAACAAGTACATATCAAATTTAAATAACTGAATATTTAATAATTAATTTTGTGAAATTAACATATTGGTTTAACGAGAGTTTATGTCCCTATTTTGTTTGAATAAAAATTAGTATTTGAGTTGATGAAAAAGTTAATAAAAATTGTAGGTCGATTGAAATATATGTTGAAAATGAGTTGGAAGAAAAATATTTTTGTAAAGAATGGGGGCTAAACTTAGTTAGATCATATATATATATATAATAATTTTATTATAATAATGTTCGTGCACGGTATTAAATATCGAACCATAATAAAATGAATATGCATTACGAAAAAATTGACAACTCCTATAATTAACGTTACGATATGAGGATTATTTTGCACAATTGCAAAAATTAGATTACTCTAAAATCAAAAATATACTTTTTAGAACATTATGTATTGGAACCGATTTGGTAGATTTCCTCATTAGAATATTCATACGAGAACTAATCGATGGATGAATGCTGTGATATTTTTTTCCCTTAATATTTTTTTCAAGCCCAGTTAAATATATTGAACGCATTCCAGCTAAACCCACCAATTTTTTTCAAACCCAATTGCTACAATATATTCGCTTTATAACCCAGCCCAAATCTCCAATCCCAACCGTTGTTTCTTCAATCCAAGTCATTGAATTGAAATCATACCGCAATTTCTTCTCTGGCAAATCGTCCCTGCCACTGCTACGAAGGTTTATCTGTAATCTGTACCTTTTCTTGCTTATTTAATTGTTGTAATTCATAATTCTAGTTTCTTTTAAATCTCTTGGGATGGAGGTATGCTGGGTGTGATTATTTAATTTATTTTCATATTTTGGTAGGGAATCAGTGAATCACAGAATGGGATTAGGATTTATTGCTAAAATATTGAATGGGGTCGGGGTGGGTGATGGGCTAATGGCTGAATTTGATTACTTTGGTTAATTGGTAGGGAATTTGGGAATGTGATTGGGAATTGCTTTTAATTTGTATTTTCCGACATCCTTTCTTAGCATAAAAATGCAATTTATTGAATCTCTGACTGTAAATTGTGATTCTGTGAAACTTAACAAATGAAGTCTTGCAAATCATCTTTTTGGTAAAAAGGTTTGTGCTGGATGATAAAAACTGAGCGGGCACATTCAAGGTAGTGATTGAAACCCATTGCAGATAGATAAGATAGTAACTGAATAGGCATAAAGGGATGAAAATAAATGAATTAGAATAAGTGAGTTTTGTCACATGTTTAGCTCTAAATGGAGGTAGATGTCACCCACTTCTGGCATTTTTTGCTACACCAATGCACCACATTATCACCTACCAGAGTTCACTTTTACAACCCAATTCTCAGCAAATTGTGCAGAGCTATAAAATGTACTTAAAAAATAAAAATAAAAAATGACTGCTCCCACATTATCAATACTAATCCAGTATACTTCTTAAAAAATTAATCAAGGCTCCCATCCCGTGTCTGAGGTCCGCTCGAGGGGTCTTCTAGGCGGGGAAACCCTAACTTCCATGCTTTCAAAATAAAACTTCCCCGAACCACCCAAAATCGTGTTTGTAGCAGAAATCTTGGATTCGTCCTTGAGCGATTTTCTTAGTCTTCTAAGCGGTTTTCTTAGATATTTTTCCATCCAAAAAGAACATCTGACGTATACGTCTGAAAGTTTTAGGACTCGAGAGTATTAGAAATCAAAAGGTTCAAAATTTCATCATCATAATATTTAGAGATGAGGATCCCATAAACAATTTATCAAAATAATAATGTCAAGGCTATCCGTGTAATCTTGGTATGAAATCCTCAATCTACCCTATACGAGGTCTTGCCTTGATTGGGTAATATGAAAGGAAAGTATAATTGTCATTTGAATTTGATAAATTTTTAATCTGGAATTTGCAAAAGCAATTGCTAGAGTTGAACAGATTGATTGGCATCGATTGAAAAAATAATGTAAGAGTATCAAAATTTCTAACCTTTTTTTCTTCAGCATTCATATTTCATGGTAGGAACACTACTCAAAGTAGAAATAGTTTCAATTTCAAATTTAATGGGCAAGTCTTTTATATAAATATTATATGGACTCATATTTTTCACAAAACCATTACACTATTGGATTCTACACCTTCTCTTTTTATAGCATGTAATCATACCTATTGAGTCCGTCCCTCGACTTATGATATTCGGGACCGAATTCTCATTGAACTGAACGTTGACCCCTCGCTATAATATTTAAGATTTTTATTAAAATAGGTTGGTCTTCATATGCAGTCTAGTTTATCAAGATTAATATTAGCACGTTGCTATTCGGAAAAAATACTATCTTTCCATTTACAAAATTTGTTGAACTAATTTGTATAAATGAGGACTTTTATAAGTAAAATAATTTTGCAAAATGATTGTATTTGAATAATATGATATTTATTAGTTGAAAACGACTTATTCATTTTAACATTTGCTTTGTATAGTTATTATTTTTATTTTTCTATTTTCAATTGTATAATGATAGAAGTTGTAGCCCAATTTATTATTTTTACTTATATCATTTAACATTTTATTTTATTTTATTTTTTTACAGTAAGGCAGTTGCCACCACTAGACCCCAGGTGGCTCTGCAATTGGGAGCGTGTAAAAATGGACTCTTCAACTGACTTGAACAATGGAACAGAGTGGTTGAGGTAAATAATTGAATTTGAAATTCTCAAGAGAAAAAAATCGTTAATGTTATCGCTATGGTTAATTATGGAGGTTGGATGAGAAGTTGTTTACACTGTGAATTTGCCATGTATGATAGTTTGGAGGATAATGGCAGCAATGCAATTGTGTTGCCAGGCAAGAAAAAGAGTAAAACGAACAAAAATAAGCAGGTATACGCGTATTAAATTAATAAGTATTTTCACTCTGGATTACTTTCTCAATTGTATTGTATTTACTCTGACAATTAAATGTCTATTTATTGATTATTAGGTGTCCGAAAAGCTTAGGATAAATAAGGAGCCTAAGTTAAGCAAATCCCAGAAAAGAAAGTTAAAGAAGCTTGAGGTATGTAAATCTTTCATTTGGTGTCTCTATGTAGATTTCAAACTACTTCTCCCTATCTGGGCTTTGAACATTTAATGATTTAATTTTCTGACATGTAGGAGGAGAAGGGAAAGGAGATACTTTTGTCAAAAAGCATCGAGGAATTGGAGTATGAATGCCACTAATATTGTCTTTCATTGATTGTTGTGTTTTATTGACTTCATTGTTATCTTAATAATGGGATTTTGATTATTTACATTCAGGAAGTACAAGATTCGAGATGATGTGTATTCTCTTATGTGGTCTTCACGGAACTTGGGTCAGGTTTGTGTTACTCTCATGATAATCAATATTGTGATTTAAAAACTGAAAAGGAAATCCTGGACCATAATTTATGAAGTGGCTTAATATTCATAGGTTGAAACTGTCCGTGAAAAACGTAGGAGGCAAGTGCAGTTTTCTAAAGCGGGTTTAGAATTAGATGATTATCGACCTTTCAAGAAGAGGACCCGTGATAATACGTCTGGTGGTGTTGAATTGCATCTGGACGATAACAAATCAGAAGTAAACAATGAGGGCAATTCTCTGCTACCATCTTCATCAGAAAGAGAGCTTCAGAATCACATATCCGCCCCACTACAATCTTCTCAAGAACTAGTTTGTAGGAATGAACCTGCTACTCTTGGCGAAGATGCTGCTTTGACTGTTGAGGAAGTAAACAATGAAACTAGTAAATCGTTAATACCAGAACAGCCAGAAGATTCACAGCTCGCATTTCCTCCTAGTGAAGAATTGGCAGAGTCGTTGGTATGCTACACTTCCATACTGTGGTGATTTTTTTTGATCAATCAGATTATTTTACAATTTTTTTATGTTGAATCTCAATAGAGTTTATACTCGGACAATTTTATTCTACTTAACACGTTTCAATATAACTGTATCCGCATTTAAAATAGTTTAAACTCATGCTGGACGCTTGGAACAGGCTACAGTGGATGGAAGTCCAAATGTAAATCTCAGCAATATAATGAACAAGGGGATCTGTACTCCACTGAGAACTACTACTGCCCCAACTGTAGTGCACGTATCAAGACCAAAGGAGGTCGAGAGCAACAGAAGAAATCTTCCAATAGTAATGATGGAACAGGAAATAATGGAAGCTATTAATGAGAATAACAGTCTTATTATATGTGGTGAGACTGGTTGTGGTAAGACCACCCAGGTCCCCCAGGTTAGCTATTTTGCTTTTTGTTTCTTCTCTTTCACACAACATTCTGTTTGGAGCGAAGTCGTATTGTTGCATTTTATTATCATCTTTCAGTTCCTTTACGAGACTGGCTTTGGTTCAAGCCTTTGTGATGTTCGAGGCGGTGTTATTGGTGTGACCCAACCCCGACGAGTTGCTGTACTTGCAACAGCTAAGCGAGTGGCATACGAGCTTGGTCTTCGTTTGGGTAAGGAGGTAGGCTTTCAGGTTAGGCATGACAGAAGGATTGGAGAGAATTGCTCCATCAAGTTTATGACTGACGGAATCTTGCTTCGGGAAGTTCAGGTTTTGCCTTCACTCTCATTCTTCTGCTGCACATGTGAATGACATTGTTTGGGAAAAAAATTTGTATCTTTATTGTTAGTATCTTTTCTTTGGGAAAAAGTTGCTGGCTATTCTATGTAAAGTAATGATAAAGCTGTTAACAAACTCTCAGAATCACGATGTTGTTATCACACCCTTAATAGCAACCAACTATTTGCCATTACATTAGGCATGGCATTGAGAATAATAAGTTGTGATATGCGTTAATGAAGAGGAGCTACAATCTAATACTGGATTTACAACTTTCTTCTCTTGGTTTCGTCCCCTGTATAACTCCACATTCTTGTGAATGGAGAATTTCTGAAATTCTTTATCAAGTTGGAATTATGAAGTGATAATTTGATTGCTGCTATTTTATTTTTATACTTTTCTGTACTCTATTTGGAATGATTCTTTCCTGGGATTCTTTGCCCCCTTGTGCCATGACCATTTTTGTTCCCTAATTATTAGTTTTTTTTTTTTTTTTGCAGAATGATTTTTGGTTGAAACACTACTCCATCATAATATTGGATGAAGCTCATGAGAGAAGCCTGAATACAGATATACTTATTGGGATGCTTTCTCGAGTTATACGTGAGCGCCAGGTAACTCCCAGAACCTCTTTTAGTTATAATGTGCCCTTTTACTATTTGTTATATATGTTTTGAAAAGATGCCAGAAAGCTTTAAAACTCTGGGTGGTTCCAGGATCTTGGTTTCAGAAATAAGAAAAAAATTATTTCTGTTTACTGTTCTTGTCAATTTCTCTTGTATTTTATGACAGTGGGAATATGAGATGCAGCAAAAGAGGATTCTTGCTGGGGAAATTATTAACTCTGAGAATAGGATCTATCCGTTGAAACTTGTGCTGATGAGCGCTACCCTGTGTGTTGAAGACTTTGTGTCTAACACAAAAATATTTCATAATCCTCCACCAGTAATAGAAGTCCCAACTAGACAGTACCCAGTTACTATGCACTTCTCCAAGAGGACAGAGATCATAGATTACATTGGCCAAGCCTATAAGAAAGTATTATCAATTCACAAAAGATTGCCGCCTGGGGGAATACTTGTTTTTGTGACTGGGCAGAGGGAGGTGGAGTACCTGTGTAAGAAACTAAGAAAAGCTTCTCAGGAAATAGCTGAAAATGCATCGGAAAGAAATGAAGAATCGTCTTCTGTTTCCGAAGAAAAACCTCTGGAGGAAAATGATATTCAGGACTTTAGTGAGGCATTTGAACAAGGGGACACTGGTCATGACATTATGAATCGTTTTGATTCTCATAATGAGGATCGTGGAGACCTATCTGAAGAAGAGTCTGATGTGTCTTATGATTCAGGGGATGACAGTGATCTCGAATTCTACAGTGATGAGGGTGATGTGTTAAAACCGAAATCTCTGGAGTCTGACAGCAACCTTGCAGATGTTTTGGGAGGTGAAGGAAGCCTTGCTTCATTGAAGGCATCTTTTGAAGCCTTGGCAGGTAAGAAAACTACTAACCCTGTTTCTGAGGTTCCTGTCAGTCCTGAAGGAACCTCAAAGCAATCCAGTTCCATCTTGGGGCAGAGAAACAAGGAAGGAAAGTTACCTTGTGCTGGTCCAATGCAGATCCTGCCCCTCTATGCCATGCTTCCTGAATCAGCGCAGCTTCGTGTTTTTGAAGAGGTCAAGGAAGGAGAACGCCTAGTTGTTGTTGCCACCAATGTGGCTGAAACCTCTTTGACTATCCCTGGGATAAAGTACGTTGTTGACACGGGAAGGGAAAAAGTCAAGAATTACAACTCCTCTAATGGAATGGAAAAATATGAGATACAGTGGATAAGCAAGGCCTCTGCTGCTCAACGCGCTGGAAGAGCTGGAAGAACTGGGCCTGGACATTGTTATCGCCTCTATTCCTCTGCAGCGTTCAATGACATATTTCCTGATTTCTCATGTGCTGAAATATTGAAAGTACCTGTTGATGGTATTGTTCTTCTGATGAAATCCATGCATATTGGCAAGGCAAGTTTTTTTGGGCTGCCTTTTATTATTTATCGGTAATGCTATTTATACATAATTATTTACAAATTGATGTTCTGAGAAAGAGGAAAAAACAGTTTTGAAGAGGGAGGGAGGGAGGGAGAGAGAGAGAAATCTCTTAAAATTTAATATAATGTCATGTCATCAATCTGTAAATAATTATGTACAAATAGCATTATTCATTATTCATTTGTCTTTCCATTCTGTTTTCTGTTCTGTGCAATTCGAAAATATAGGCATTCTTTCCTGCTGTTTGTTTTGTTTATTTGCTTCAGTTCTATTTCATACTATTTACATGTTCGATAAACCTCATATTTTACTCAAACCTCAGGTTAAGAATTTCCCATTTCCAACCCCTCCTGAGGACAGTGCGTTTGATGAAGCAGAGCTTTGTCTAAAGGCTCTTGAGGCACTTGATAATGAAGGAAGGTTGACAACACTAGGGAAGGCAATGGCACGCTATCCAATGAGTCCTCGCCACTCTAGAATGCTTCTAACAGTTATTCAAATCATGCAAAAGGTGAAAGATTATGCCCGAGCAAACCTAGTACTGGGCTATGCTGTTGCAGCAGCTGCAGCTTTGAGCTTGTCAAATCCTTTCATTATGCTGTTTGAAGTAAGCCACAATGACACAGATGACTTGAAGCAAGATTGGAGTGAGAAAACTCCAGACAAGAAAGAAAAGTTGAGGAAAAAGAAACTTAAAGAAACTGCTAAATTATCTCGTGCTAAATTTTCTAACCCCACCAGTGATGCTTTAACCATAGCTTATGCGCTGCAGTGCTTTGAACTCTCTGAAAATCCATTGGAATTCTGTGGCGACAATGGGCTGCACTACAAGACTATGGAAGAAATGTCAAAGCTGAGAAAGCAGCTTCTTCGACTAGTGTTTAGCTCAAATTGTAGTGATATCCAGCGAGAGTTTTCATGGACTCATGGGATTTTGCAGGATGTAGAAAGTGCTTGGAGGGTTTCTTTTGACAAACACCCTCTTCTACTGAATGAGGAGGAGATTTTGGGGCAGTCTATCTGTGCTGGCTGGGCCGATAGGGTTGCTAAACGTATTAAAGGAGCTTCAGGGCTGTCAGAGGCAGATAGAAAAGTTAACGCTGCGCGATATCAAGCTTGCATGGTCAAGGAAACGGTATTCCTCCATCGTCGCTCATCTGTTTCTAAATCTCCACCTGAATTTCTAGTCTACAGTGAATTATTACATACAAAAAGGCCATATATTCATGGAGCAACAAGTGTGAAACCAAATTGGCTGGTTAAATACGCTCGATCATCGTGTATCTTTTCTGCACCCCTTTCAGATCCAAAACCATACTATGATCCTGTAGCTGACCAAGTTTTCTCGTGGGTCGTTCCATCTTTTCGCCCTCATCTATGGCAACTCCCTCTTCATGGTTTGCCCATCAAAGAAGATGGAAGTCGGGTGGCTGTGTTTGCTTGTTCATTACTTGAAGGACAGGTTTTGCCATGCCTAAAAGCTGTCCGAAAGTTCATGGCAGCCTCACCAGCTAGCATTTTGAAGCCTGAGGCATCAGGTCTTAAACGAGTTGGTAATCTGTTAAATAAATTAAGTACAAGGGGAAGAACTGTTGACAGTTGTGCCATGCTAAAGAAGTTGTGGAATGATGATCCAACAGAATTGTTTTCAGAAATTCGGGACTGGTTTCAAGAAGGGTTTCATAACCAATTTGAAGAACTTTGGACACAAATGCTCTGTGAAGTTCGGTTAGATCCTAAAAAACGCTTCTCCAAAAGGGTCAAGGGAGAAAAAAGGAGGATTTGAGTATTGCCATTACTGTTGTATTGGATAGTCGTACAACTGGCAGTTTTTCAGGCTTTGCTCTACATCTGAATGAATTTATCACAGGGGTAACTCTTAACTTGTATTATTCTCCGGGTTGCTAATCTGGATCATTTTTGCTTTAACAATCGCATAATTGGCATACTTCATTGTCTGATTAGTTTCTTGCTGAAAATTTTGTAGAATTCTGTCGAGAAACATAAAATTTTGTTGTGGCCCCTGATGGGTATAATCGTCGACTATTGGATGTCATGATATTATCTAAAGTAGCTTTTTTGCTGTTTGTTGGAAAAGAAAATGAGTGGACGGTTTCTAAATTTTATCGGACAGAAGGAATTATGATAGTTTTTTTAATTTTGAAAAGAACATTCTAGTACTGTAAATAGGTTTATCATGCAGTTCTCTTCGAAAAATGCCGTTGTAAAGAGAAAAAATCAAGGCCAGTTCTTGGTGGCCTTTTCTTTTTCTTTCAATTTTTAGATAATGGAATCTCTACTGAGGTCCAGGAGTGGGAGAGCTGAAGGAAATTCGATTTTTGAAATAGTATCTCCTGACGCACAGGGAAAATATATTATAGCAAATGAACAAGATGTTGTGGAATTGTCCATAAATAAAATCATAATTACATATACAGGCTTTTTCCACATGTAAGGGGAACCTTGTGACACAATAGAAGCAAAATTGATTGGAAATATTCAAGAATGAAAGTACTTATTTTCTGGAGGAACATGAAGTGGCCAGACTGTCCTCATTGGAGATCAATATCAAGAGATTGAATTATACATCATATCAGCTGAATTGTACATGGTCAGAGTTCCATCGCCGAAGGATGATTTTGTGCAGTTTTAGAATATGAAATTTTAATCTAAACTCGTTAGAGCATTTCATACCAGTTCGTCGTGGATGGCTTTGAAAACTCTTTTTTGCTTCTCATTTCACTGATGCTAGTTAGTAAATTGAATTTCGTGCTAGTCTAGAATGCATTTTGAGCATGCACAAGGAATAGATGGAAAATTCACCAATATTCTGTTCGAGGGGCCATAAAAGACCACCAGCAACGTCATCTAAGCTTATAAACTGAGTTTCTGTGACGGTGAAGACTAAGTGTTAAAAGACTATTCATTTAAGCCTTACTTCGAACGTCTCCAATGTCTGTACCAATTGAAGGATAGGATGATACAAACATTTCTTCCAAAAGTCCAAAAAATTATAATCGGTAGATGCGCACCAGCCTTTTTTATCCAGGACCAAGCCTAGAAATCTCCTCCAAACTCTATTCCTTTGGACCTTACTTGGAGTTCCTTGGACCTCATGTTCAAGTGACGCTCAACCATTTACCTAAATACACCGACATTGACAAACCCCAAAGGATAGGAAATGATTAAGCATACAAACAGAAGTCTTGAATCACGAAAAGATCCAACTCCACCTTAACCAACTTTACCTTGCAAATATTTTGCATATGGAATATACTCAAAAGACATTCCAGCATACGTCCACAGCACACTTTCTCAAAATGATATCAAAGTCGTAGTACAAAAGAACATTCTATGAAACACGGTTATATGATTTCTCAATTGTTAAACTGGAAATAGCTAATGTAGTTATAAGAAAAGATCTAGTACAAAGGTCAAAAACTTGAATTGTCATAATAAGGAAAACAAAAAATGCATAAAGAAAGGAATCCACCAATCCTTAAAACTGAGTTAAAAAGTTCACTTCTTTGCCTTCTTGGTTCCCCTGTGTTGCAAAAATCACAAGCTAAATACACAGTTTCAATAATTAATGAAAAAAGTAGAAACTAGTGGTTTTACACGTCACTTACTGAGCTGCCTGGGATGGAGCAGGAGCTGCAGCTGCCGGTGGTGCTACTTTCTCTCCTGGTCCCTGAAGTAGAAAACAGAGAAAGAAATTCAATTATTCAGAAAGCCCAATAACTTAATCAAGATAGTGACAGGTCATATATAAAAAATAGGAACTACATTTACTCAAAGCCAAGAAGTTTGTCATTTTTTGCCTGACTGCAGTACTCAAAACATACATAAATACACTCACAGATACACTAGATCTCGTGTAAACTCGTGTATTTTGCATGCATTAATTTGTATATCAGTGATTAAAGCTTCTGTATATAATTCAATTGTTACCATAGCTACTGTTGACCAAAAACCTACAAAGGGAATTTAGTCAATTAATCACCTGAGCCAGACGCTCCTCCCTCCTAGCAAACTTTCTTTCCCTGCTAGCCTTGTTCTTTGCTCTCTTTGCCTCGAATTGGTCAGACAAGGTCTTTTCTCTGGCCTTCTCAGCCTTAGACTTGTGGATGCTCTCCATCAAAACACGCTTATTTTTGAAAACATTACCCTTTACCTTCATGTACATGTCATGATACATGTGCTTGTCAATCTTCTTTGACTCCCTGTACTTGCGAAGCAGGCGCCTGAGCACTCTCATTCTCCTCATCCAAAGAACTTTAGTAGGAAGCCTTGCCTCCCTAGTACCCTTGCGCTTACCTGAAGTAATCAAGAAAAGAGATATCAGACATCTATACTTATCTTCTCAACAAATCAATAAGATAAAGGCGTGAGAATACACCGTGAACCGGGTCACTTAATCATAATTTTGATTAACTAGGTTAATTTTTGAACTGCAGTAAGACTAGGCCCAACAAAGTTAAGTCTCACAATAAGATGATATCACATCTAACATTTGCATCACGCTATTCTCTAGCAAAGAGAGAGTAAAAGAGTAAAGACTCTTAATTTATTTTTCACAGATGAAACAAAGCATCATATATCCATGACGACCATTAGTAAGTAGAATCCCTCTATTTCCAATTGGTGAGTGAACTCATCAACAAAATTAAAAATATAACAAAATAATGAAAAACTACATTCAGTTAGCAAAATCATTACTACTGCACCAATTTTAATACAATCAACATTTAGCAAACAGTAAGCGATTTATGCATTCCACAACTAGAAGATATTACCATATCCAGAGTGACGTCCCTTTCTCTTCGCCTCCTTCATTCGACGAGCACGAGATCGGGAATGAATCTTGGTCGGCTTCCTAATGATGAAACCATCCTTGACCAGCTTTCTGATGTTTTGACCTGAATTTTATGCAAAAAAAAGATTCAGAAACAAGTACATAACACTGTCACAAAATGTATACATGCACAATTGTCGCATTGGGAAAATGTAGGTGTTTGTTCATGCCCAATATAGATTCTAAATCAACTTAGACGAGCTGTACGAGTGGGCAGTCTCACAGATTGAAAAGATAGTCAAGCATCTGGAAAGAAGTAATACGTCCAGCATTCTCATACAGGTTTGAAGTTTCAACAACTGGTTGTTTTGTAAATAAAAATATATCTATTGTGGTAACAGGGGGATTTAAGACAATTAACAGGCTCTACAGAAACACCAGCATTCAAGACCTCAGATATCCTCTATCTGGTTAATAGTATGTATTGAGAAATGCAAGAACTACTCAGACTGTCGAGGCTGTATACAGATTGAATTAAAAAAAAAAGGTTACTCCATCTTGATAATGCAAGACCGAAATGTTTCACAAATTACTAGTACAGAAAGTCTTGTATAGCTCATAGACAGATGCAAAGATGACAAATGGACCAACTTATTATCCCCGATTTACTTATGCCCAAAAGATACAACTAACACCAGAAAAAGACATACACAAGAAATCGAACAGGCTCGCATCTGAATATAAATGGAATCGACTTGACAAAATCTTCTAGAAATTAAATTCATGAGAAGCTCATACACAGATGGCAAAATAACACATAAACCAATTTGCTTCTTTAAACCTCGAAAAGATAAAAATCAAATCTTGCTGAAATAATGTAGATAAAAATTGCACCAAACATAACAAAATCAACTCAATAAACCATATAAAAAAGAAATCGAACGCCAATAATCACGTCTGTTCTATACGCATACGTACGGGAATTGGCTCTGGAGAGTTCGTCGACTTCATTGGGGTCAAGCCAGACTTTTCCCTTCCCGCACTTTAGGACGCTGGCTGCCAGCCTTTTCTGTAGCTTCAGCGACACCATTTTCTCTTCTCGATCGAACTGTGCAAGGTGATGTTGAAGACTGAAATGCTCCCAAGATTCGGTTTTTATATGTTGCAGATGATTTTTGTCTAGGGTTTACGATATGGGGCCCTTTTTCTTATCGGACCAAGCCCGTGTTGCTGTTGTGAAAGAGAGTCCATACTAAGGGATATAAGACTTGAATATTTTTTAATTTTTCGTGAATTTTTAAAAATTTGTGTCAATGTATTGAATTAATGAAAATCTTTCACAGACTTTCTTATTAAAATTTTTATATACTTTTATAGAATTCATTTAACTTTTGAAGACTTTTTATTAGTAAATCACAAAAGTAATAAAAAATAATTTTAAAGTAAAGTCGCTTTAATTAGATAAATAAATAATCAAAAGACAAAAAAACATATATATAATAATTTTCATTGTTCTTTGATAAAAGAATAAAGAAGTATAATGTTCACTATTACCAAATATGTCTGGCGTTCAAAAATAAACCACTAATTAATGTATTTAAAATTTACAAAATTATAAAATATTATAGAATTTAATTATAAATTGATCTTTTATATAATAAAAAAATTGAAAGCAACAAAAATGAAAAAAATGTTATAGAACAGGCCCTCGAGTTATTTTTACTAGTAAAATTTAAAGGGGTACATTTATTTTGGTATAAGTTTTTAGAACAGTTCAACCCATATTTGAGAGTTTATTATTTATTGATTCTGAATTTATTTTAAAAGAAAGAAATCATTATATGCCCATTATTAATTTATAATTTCTTCTATGAGTTTTCTTTACTCATAAATTTTTTTTATATATACAAATTAATATTTAACTTAAAAAGTTAATGGCTTGTTCTCTTTACCGTTTTCAAGTCGTTTTCTGTTTTGATTTTTCAAAATAG